TAACACAGATTACATAAAAGAATGAATTGTGTTAAACAATTAAAGAACAAACCTGAAAGGAAAACCAGACTGGTCTCTTCTGGATTCCCTGCCTTCCTGCACACAGAACATTACTATGAGAAAGGAGCCTCTGCTTTCTGTAAGATTCGTTAAGTCATACCCAGGTAAGATAGTTTCATTGACTCGTGGATTTTCCTCATCTCTCTCACCTGAAGCAGGTCAAAACCTGAACTTTTTGGGTTTTGTTCTAGGTGTTAAAGGACTGAGTCACTAAACACCAATGTAGAAATAAGGCTGTGCAAGATTAAAGGGGATGCAATAAGATATGTTTGCCAGCCTTAATTTTCCAAAGCAGATAAACAGATTTTCCCTTGCACAGAGGGAGCAAAAAAAGCACCATGAGGTTATACTCTTCACCAGCATTCTTCTCTTTATGGATTTTTTTCTGCCAAGTGTCGCACTAAAATGTTGAGTGAAGGGAGGTCCTGTGATGGGAAAGGTGTGGAACAGGGGAAAATGCTGCTGGAGTATATATGTATAGTATGTGTGATGGTAGGAATACTTTTGAGTGTCCTTGTTGTCATAAAGATTGTAAGTTGTAAAAATGTTCAGAAAATTATTCTTGGGATCAAATAGGAGGGAAGGATTGCTGGTATGGAGAAGTGGCTTTGTAAGTGACAATGCAGAAACATCTTGAATTAATCTTTAATTGCCGAAACCTGGCCTATTGAATGTGATTCCAAAATCCCCTTGGCTAGGATTTCAGTTCTGGATTTGAAGTGAATTAAAAGGATACTGTGGGAGGAAGATGAATTGAATTGAATAAAGGAAATACTATTTCCCAGTATAAGGTAGGCATGAGGGTGCCAAGTGAACTAATATACCTAAAAATACAGATAGTTTATTTGTTTATGCTCCTATGACTACTTCAGGTCCAAATCCAGTAATTGTGTTGCTCCTTTGCCTTAAGTAGCCTCTTACTTCCTGCTGCTTCTGTTTTTATTTTACTTTTGGTGTCTGTTTCTTGAATAGACTGATTTTAGTATTTTAACCTAAAAATCAATAAGGTTTAGGGCCAAATTTTATTCCTCCAGATTATCAAATAAAAATGAAATTGAAAAAGCTACTTTGTCAAAAAGTCTGGCTTCCCCCCCACCATGATTTTAAATATCTACATAGTTTTTAGCGATAACTTTGAAAACTAACATACAAAAATGTTTCTGTTAATGGAAGTATTCTGTACTATATAAGGATCCTTTGGACTTTATCCTCACCACAGCAAGAAATTAGGTGAGATTGTTTTGTGTTGGTATATAATAGTCATGACAGAAAACAATAGGAAAAGAAAGATTTAAAGGAGCACAAATGACGGTTTTTAAAATAATGAATCTCAAGAAGGCACTTTAGTTTGAAAAGTGTCAATCTTCTTGTTTCCAAACAAACACTTGAAAGAATTAGCCTTCATTAGAGTACTGTTGCCCTCAATCCAATATGTGCTTCTCTACCTGAGTGGAGCTATAAAGGCAGGGAATGAAAAAGACATGATTAAAATACATGATGGAAAATATTAATGGACATCTCACAACCAAAGGTCTGCTGGGCTTCTCCACTCTAAATATTGTGTAAAAATTAAATTGCAGTTATGTAGCAACATACTGCTTTGGCTGTTACAAACAAGACCTTTTGAACATCTGTGATAGGCAGTGTTCCAGCTCAAGATGGAAAGATCCCTGCCTGCCAAACCAAGCTGGCAGTTAAGAAAGTGGGAGAATAATCTTGGTTATAATAATCAAATATATAATCAAAGCATTTGCTGCTTCTTTGAATGAGTAGACTTAAGTATTTTAGTTTATTATCTCAAGTTGATGTCACTCACATATAAATGTATAGTTTCAGAGGTTTCGCTAGGAAATGTTACCATTATTTTAGCTCTTAAAGTGCTAAACTCCAGTCAGCACATTAAGTTACATACTACATATGTAGGAACTTCCATTAGCCCAGCAAAACAAGTACACAAATTTTGGTTATGTGTAGCTTTGGGCTTTAGGCTAGCAAGGATTAGGTTATATCTGAAAAACTAGATTTACAAGCCATGGTCGCCAGAGGTCTTGGTGATCCCTGGAAAGGGGGCTGGTTACAACAGTGCTGCTTCTCCTTTCTGTTTTTAGCTGCTAAATGATATTAAAAGAAACTGCAGATGCATTAAGTACTTTTCTTTTCATGTGGCTTATTAATGTAATTGTCACAGGGATGTTTTGTGAGCATGCATAAGAATGAGGACAGTCTGCGCACCTTCCCACCTATTTCTAATACCAGTTGTAAAAAGTGGAGGTTCCTGAGACGGCTTCTCTCTCAAGATATAATTTACATGATGGAAAAAATATGAGAACCCCTATGGTATAAAGGATGAAGGATGATCTTATTAAGACAGTGGAATAGAATTTGGAAGAGCTGACTTCAGTTTTTGACTGCCATAGCTTCCCTGTGACTGAAAAAACCGTTTCTTTATGACTGAGTTTCCTATCTACAATTCAGGGCAATGGTGCTATGGTAGTAGAGGATGGGTACAGTCTTAAAGTAATTTAAAGTATTATTTAATTCACTGAAGATTCATTAAACAATTAAGGAAATTCTTAAATTCTTCAGGTAGCTCAAGTTGAAATAGATGGAAACGTTTCATATGGTAGATGCTAAGTGCAACACATACGTAAATTGAATTTAGCTTTCACAGCTAAACTTCCTAATCACTAACTAAATGTACAAACAAACCTGAAAATCCTCTTAAGCAGAAGCTTAAAAGTAAATCAAATGCTGTATATAGGCAGTAAAAAGAGAGCCAGTTTTAAATGGGTGTGTTTTTTGAGCATACATAGTGTCTCTTTTTAGAGCTTGATCAAATCCCTGCTACGTATGAGCCTCTGGATTAGGGTGTTGGATCAGGTCTTCAGCATTGTGTTTCCAGGCTGATCTGTAGTACGTAAGCAGAGGGAATAATTTATCATTAGGCTTCTAGAAATTCTAGATGAAAGTCCATTCTCTTTGGCCACAGCAACAACTGAAGAGCAAAAAGAGCCAAGCTGCCACAGGTAGTGGAGGGGAACAAATTGGAAAAGAATCAAATGATCATCCTTTAATTCAGTAAGTTGCTTATCTATGTTAATAGTTTTAAAGTAGGCATTTATTAAGATAGAATATGTAATTGTTTCATAGTTTGTGAAAAAACAAAAACAGACGCTGAAAACATGTATTTTTTATATTTTATTTCCCAAACTGCAACGCTTCCTCAGAGGCATAACAGAGTGGTTTTGCACCTGGGTTTCTACATGCAGAACAAGCCATGTGTTGTGGTTTTGGGAATGCGATAGAGATGTCTTCAGTAGTTCTGGCCCCTTGTAGCCCTTCTGCTCCATGGCACAGAGGGGTAGATTCTACAGTCCTCCCATAAGAGACAAGGCTGTTCTTGTCCTTACCTCTGTTGCTGAGGGAAGAGTAGGAGCCAGATTCCTAGAGATGTTACAGCAGGATGTTCTGGACAAAATACATAGGAAAATGTGTGTATGAATGGAAATGCAAAAGGTACAGGCATGGTTCAAGGTTTGGGAGACTGTTGCTCTGAAGTTCACAATAGGACTGATGGCTAGGAGCAGATGGGATGTACCTGGTTAATATATTATTTTTTTCCTCTTCAGGATTCTAAAGAAAGTAGGAAGTACCTTTTTAATTTACTCTTGTATCCAAAGATCTGTCTGCACCAATATGCACTCTTCTTATTTGGGGAAATTATTTTTAAAAAACAAACAAAAAACCCCACCTGCCTGACACCATATGTTTTGGTTAATGTTAAAGATGAAGCGTTATTCATGGATTTATAAGGGTATATGTGCATGTTTCTAATTGTGTTCCTTTATAAGCTCAAAGTCATCTGAAGAAACTATTTTGTTGTACTCATTCTGTGAGTTAAGTTTTGTGTGAGAACATACTACGCTAATTTTTTCATTACCTGTCAATTTCTACTCTCACTTACGCTGATGGAATCTCAGCCTCCAGTTGGCATAAACAGACTTCACTATCTTTTGCTAAAAAGGTTATCCTTCTCGCAGAATGTTTTCTTGGAATAATTTGCTTTTTTTAAATTAAGGATGAGTCCTTACATATGGCGGGACCAACAATAGAGTACTACTTGTTTAAAAAAAAAAAAAAAGAGACAATATTGCCATGTTGTGGTAGAACTCTTATCAATTTATGTGGGAGAATGCGATGAAATCTTATCTTAAAACAAAATGCAAATATGAACAGACAAAAATTAGCCATTTTTCCTCTCAGGAAAAAAAATGCTGTTTGCTTGCAAAAACGTACTTTAAGCTTTGCTGAAGAACAAAAAAAATTTTTGATGGAATTGTTAAATGTTTAACTTGCTTTGTTATATTTGTGTTGTTTGTTGGGAATAAGGTTATATATCCTAGAAGGTTATTGTTAGGTTAGTTAGTTCACAGGTATAGGGTGGTTTAGAGATGTGCCATGTTTGTGAAGTGCCAAAGATATTAGTAAATTTCACATGCACCGGTGGGAAAATGTAATCTATGTTGCTAAGAGTACAAGTATTTCACTTTGAAATTTTTATGTGTAAGAGAAGTTGAGGTAGTATTCTTCCTTTTCTAGCATTAACAATTTCCATTTTTTTCTGAGTAAACCAAAAGTAACTGATCTAGCAAGCGGTAATATTAAATTAATGTAATGCTAGATAATGTTGCAAAGAAAACTGGGCATCTGTCTATACTGAAAGAATTTAAAAAAAAAAAGGAATTGTAATACAGAAGTATCAGAAAAATCGTGTAGTGCCACCATGCCTGTATACATTTAATATTTAATTTGGCTGGTTACAGCAGTACCCAGATATCTATACCTCTACCATAAAGGGTGTAACCATTCATTAATTCATACATTTTTCAAAACATGTTCTGTAATTGGGAACTTATTTGGGTTTTTTTTGTTGGTTTTAGAGCGTTCATATTTTGGAGCGGAAGGCTTCATCTGGAAGCACTGATCAATCTATAAGCAAGCAACTACTGGAAACAGATCCTGTTTCTCTATCAAAGGTAATCAAATGAATCTGACACCTGTGTTTCAACCTTCCGTACTTCTATAATAAAGGCTTTAACTATCAACTTTTTCGTGCTGGCTTTAGTAGCTGGGCTATCGAGTATGTTCCAATCATAGCCCTACAGTTTCTGGTTCCTCAAATGCAACTGGATTCAAGTATGCCTTAACACATTGGAAGAGATTATTTTTGGTAGAGTTTTTAGTAACAAAATTGAAGGTTTTTATTTCCTTTCATTTCAAATGGAAGATATCACTAAGAACAAGTACTCAAATTTGTTACTAGGAATAGTGTCCTAAATCACCGATAGGAACTGGGGGGTGGATTTAGTGGGGGGGGCACTGATGCATTTGCACCTGCTCCCTCCTCCACCTCCTTCCCCCTGCTTTGATTCCTGTTCTACCCAGAGTTTAAAACCAACTCTTGGCAGTAGCAGAGCATTTCTAGTCAGGCAGTGCTGAGGAGATCAGTTGTTGTTTCATATGTGATGATGTACCTCATCATCTACATCTCATTTTCAAAATTCTAGATCTGTCCATGCTGACGATGTTGTTCATAAAAACACAGCAGATTTGAGATTCTCCTTTATTAGGCAGTTTTAGCAGGGGGAAGTAGTTTTACTATGGATGGCTAGGACTGCCCAAAAAGTCTTGGGGGAGACCTGTCTTCCAGGGTAGTATTGGCTAATACAGCTGCAGAGGCAACACACACAATCCCTGGAAGAGGAGATTTTTGGGTGTATAGCTTTACAATAGACCTCTCTCCGGTTGACTTTGAAGAAATATTGATAAATTCTGGAAGGACTGCAAATACAGCTGGGAATCGTTGTTTGACAAGGGCATTCCAGCCATATCACTTTTACTCCAGTCACACTTCTTTTTTTTTCTCTCTGTTTTAGCACCTGGAGGGTGGAGATGGGGATAGAGTGGTACAAGAGCCCTTTTGGTAGTTTCCTATTCAATGTGCACAGATTATAGTGAGCCTCACTGCAAGAATCAGGATTAATGGTCTGATTATGGACTTTTTGCACCAAATATATATCTACCCATACTGCACAGGCAGTCCTTGACTTGCAACGTTTCGAGTTACAACGTTTTGCACTTACAGCATTTATAAATTGACCCTCTGTTTCAACTTTCTGACATCAGTTTTGACTTTACAATGCTTGATCCGATGCGATGCAATGCCATGCTAGCGAACAAGTTCGCTGTATCACCCATCTCCCTGGAGGACATCTGTCCAAACTTCCTTGGACACTTTCTTTAAGAAAGCAGACAAGACTCCAGAAAAACCTGCAGCCAAGACTCCTGAGAAGACTCCAGCCAAGAACCCTTCAAAAAGTTCAACCAAGAGCCCTTCAAAAAGTCCAGCAAGGTCACCTCAAACAAGTCCTTCCAGATCAATATGATTGCTATTTACAATATAAATACATTAAAATACTTATCTATAATTGCTTGAGTACAAAATTCTGGGGTATTTTTGGTGAAAATAGGGTATCAGGCCTTGGTTCAGAAAACAATCCCCCATTTATAACATTGTTTCTTATGAGAAAATTGGTTCTGAGTTGCAAAGTTTCGACTTAAGACGCAGTTTTCAGGAACCAATTGTGTTGTAAGTCCGAGGGCTGCCTGCATACATATATGTATGAGTTCTTGTTGAAAAGTACTTCTTGCTGATGTGACCTTGGAGATAAAAGATATTTCCCTACAGCTAATCTTGTAAAGGAGAAATTAGTGCTGTAGAGAATCAGTAGATACAGGTTCAGAAATTCTGTACTTACCTCCTCAGGATTGGTTTAAATCCCCACCCCAACGTGTAAGTGTGTATTAAGGAGAACTTTTGCAAAATAAGAGTTTGGTGATGGGAGAAGAAGGAAGAACCATCCCAAAGTAAGCATATAAAAACAAACTGCTGCTATTCCTCAAAAAGTATGCTACACACAGGCAAGAACTGAGACATGCTAGTTAGAGTTTCTGTAGAGAAAGCTGAATTGGGAATACACTTGCAAGAAAAATTTGCTTCTTTTATTGCTTTTTTGTTTAAATGAGTGGTATTTGACCTTTTTTTTTTCCCAGTGAGCCATATGGATAGTGACTGGTGCATGCTGATCCAGGTGGTGGTCCTGGTCCAGCACTAGGGGAGGGCATAGCAGGGACCCCTCTGGGTGCATGGAGGTGGGCAGGGGGACAGCCTGACTATAACCTGGCCCTGCAAAGTGGGGGGAGGACAGAGGGTGTGACCTAGTTTAAACCTGGCCCTGTTGGGGGGAGGGGCATGGCCTTGGCCCAGCCTCGCCCTGTGTGGGGAAGGGGGCATTACCTGACCCCAAACCCACCCCATGGGTTGGGGGATGGGGGCAGGAGGGAGAGGGATGGAGGTATGGCCCGGCCCCAAACTGGCTCCAAGGGTGGGGTGGAAGGGGCATGGCAGCCCCAACCTGGCCCCATGGGAGGCGGGAGGTAGCATGGCCCAGCTCTGACTTACCAGGGTGCTTGGGGTTTGGGGATTTGGCAGTGGGGGACAGTGGCTGTACTGATTACCACTACTCCCCTGCTGTCAAATTTCCCAACCCCTGGGGAGCCCTCTGGACTGGACGCCATTGCTCCATGGATTGCATTTGCCCCACAGGCCAAGGTTGAGCACCCCTGGTTTAGACCACTGTTTCTTAACCTTGTTTTGCTTTAAAGTAAAATATTTTTGTGATATGCAACACTTACTGTAAAATTAGGGCACTGGAAAATCAGTGACAGCTGGTAAAAGTATAAGCATCCGAGAAGTGCCTTACTGGGTCCATCTAGCTCAGTGACAGTGGCAAGTGGCAGATGCTTTAGAGGGAGAGTATATGAATAGGACACATCTAGAGTGATTCTTCCTTTCTCATACTGCCCCTGGCAAAAACCATAAAACTCACTTGAGTGCATGTTTTGAGTGGTTGACAGGGAATACATTTCTTCCTTTAGATTATTGTATATTTTTAGTGCCTTTTGACCTTCCTTGTCCCCTGATTGCCTTTCATGATTCCATTCAGACAGACACACAAGTTGAGAAAGCATTTTGTTTACTTCATAATACTGTTGTTATATTTAAGCACAGCTTGCTGATCAGAGTGGCCATAAATTAAAGGCAATACCCTTACAATCTTTGCACAGATACCTCATATTTTTTATTTTCTTTACTGCCTTGTTTCCAACATAGTGTGCCAGAATTCTGATTTGAATCATGTACGTCAAGGATGTCAAACTTATCTGGCCTTACAGACTGAACGAGTGGTGTGGTGCTTGTCCATTTACCTCCCTCCCCCACCATGCTGGATCCAGTACATGCAGTGCCTACTCCAGTTGGTCTGTGGTTGTGCTGCACCCAGTACCTATGCAGGCTGGTATGAGATGCACACCTCATGTGGTGCCCACTCAAGCTGGTCCAGGACCTGTGCTGCACATGGTGCCTGCCCTGGACCAGGGTAGGTACTGTGTGTGGCAGAGTCCCAGATCCACTGAAGCAGTTGCCACGTTCAGTTTAGTCCTGGTTGAGCCAGAGAAGGTGCAGCATGGTCCCAGGCCCTGCATACGGGGCTGATCCAGTGCATGCCATGTGCTGCATGCAGCACCAGTGGCTAGATGATACAGCTCTACAGACTGGATTTGGTCTGCAGGCTGTATCTTTGACACCCTTGCTGTAATCATAATTCATGATGACTGGTAAAGATGACTGGATTACTGACCTTCAAACAGACATAAATATGAGGAGAACTAGTAGAGTACATACATTAAGAAATGATATAGAGCACATCAATTGAATCCTCATATTTACATTTCTTGTATTGCAATGATATTTTACACTAGGGAATTTTAAAAGAAATTACATTTTTCCGAAGGCATAACTAGCTTGTAAAACTCTGGAATAATATATCATGGAAGGAAACACAGAGTCTAAAGTGGTTAAGAAGGACTTGTCTGGTCTGGTTATCACATGCTGTATAGCTTGATCATTAGTCAACCCCAAAATATAAATTCACCCTGCATTTTAAGGTTCAAGTTAAGGAAAAATAGATTGGCACATTTTAGCACATGTGCTTTGATTTTCAAATATTTTAAAATTTAACATTGGACATTTTTAGTTTAGGGCTAGAAATTTTTAAGATCATTCATCTTTTCTGGATAATAAATAGAAAGGCACTGTGTTGTGGGGTGGAGGAGAAAGTGTGATATGCCGAATTGTTGGCAGTGGTGCATATGACCCTGTGCACATGCTTAAATCAGTGGAATGTTGACTGGTCCCACATGTAAGTTGATTGTGACTTTTCTTTTTTTTTGAGCAAAAACAGGGCAGACCTAAAATTGGAGAGTCAATAATTGGCTATTTTAGATGTTTTTTTACACATTCTTTAGTAAAGTTTGGCTTTGAGTGCTGTCAGGGACAGGAGACTTGACTGGATGGACCACTGCCTTGATCTGCTCTGGGAATGATGAACTTGTCTACACTACAAACTTGCCATCCCAGATGTTAGTGTCTTCAAACATGCTTCACTGCTCTATTGCTGTTGACAGTGTTCATCACTCCAGCAGCAACACAGTGCAAAACTGAATGCTGCTTTCAATTCAAGAGGTAGCCCCTGCAGATCCTTACAGCAGGTTTGAATGTGCTGCTGTCTCACAATAAGTTTGCACTGTATACGTGTCCGGTGTTTCTGTGCCAAACTGCTAATGTGTGCCCATAATTTACCCATGAATGTGCTTCAGTTCTTTGCATGATACAGTATTTCTAGGAGAAAGAATAATCTGTATAAGGGTTATTGAGTAGTGACTGTTGGTGAACCCAGAAGTGTAACATGCAGACCATGTCCTTGCCTCCTTAACCCTGTTAAACCCTTCTGTAGATCTTGCCATGAAGTGTTCACAGAGAAATACCTGTACAGTTTTCTCAGTGGTCAAAACTGGAGGAGACATCTTGTGTTCTGTGCTTCTGCTTCTGTGTACAGATTTGCTAGAGTACACATCCTGATCACAGACTTTGACTTGATTCCCATATTATACTTAGTGTGAATTGCCAGTTCATAGGGCACAGTCCCATCTTGTTCAAATTGGAATGTACAAATAAAATTAAAATTATTGCCTGAGTTAATGGGTCAGATATTTTAAGAGCCCACTTGTATTTCATTGCCTGAATAAGGGCCAGATTTCCTGAAGGTGCTCAAAACCTAGCAGTTCCCAGTACTCATGGCCATGTTTGGCATAGACTAACATCCTGAGCTCTTTTGAAAATCTGACTACATATTTTGATGCCTAAATGATTCCTGAGCTCATTTGAAAATCTGTCTCCCAAGCATGTATTGAGTACTTGAAAAACTGAGCCAGGTAATATGGGTAGTTTCACAAGATATACATATTATTATTACATGATAAATGTGTTTTATACTCTCCTCAGGAGCCTGACAGCTGGGAAATTATAGAGGGACTGAAGATAGGACAGACTAATGTCCAGAAGCCAGACAGACATGAAGGTTTCATGCTGAAAAAAAGAAAATGGCCTTTAAAAGGTTGGCACAAGGTAAATATCTCATAGAAAACTCAAGGGATTGTAAGTCTGAGCAGTTAAAAAAAGATGTGGAGAAAAACTTAGAGAAAAAATTGTACTCTTGGTGCGTGCATGAGAGCACGCATGCACATGCACACACCCCCCTTATATATCTCCACACCTATATATTTGTGTGTATGCATGTATTATCCCCTTCTGAGGATGTGAAGTGTTGGTTGTATACACAGCCTTACAGCCTCCAGTTTAGATTACTGTAGTGACTTCTACATACATAATGATATACTTCAAGGCCAGTTTAAAGCAATAGATAGAGGAGCAGGTATTTAATTGCTTGGAAGAACTAACTATATAATAACTAACACCTCTTCTTCACATTATTGATTTCTAAATGTTTACCAAGGTGTTTATTTTGACAAAATAAAGCTCTACCAATAAAACTCTCTCATATTGCCTCCACTGCACAATGCTTCATGGAAACAGAAATAAACTAAGGGGATTTTGAAAACTTCATATTTAAATATTTAGGACTGGGCAAGGTGTTCTTAAGGGAGAGCTCTTATTGTGGAATTTGCTTCCCTTTCGCCTGCAAAAGGTATAATGTAAAATGCTCATCTCAGGTGGATCTATAATTGTGTAAGCAATGGTGTGGCATTTTCTTGAGGAGGCAGGCAGTTAATTTTTATTGGTTGTGTGTGTTTTAATTGTTAAATACCTATGTTGCCAAATAATCATGTGTGCTAGGATGGGCGTAAAATATTCTGTCATTCAGCTACTAGTTGCTCAATTGGCTTATATGGCAACCTATTATATAAGAGGTGGCCATAGGAGAAGTAGCCATATGGCTACCTCTTGGCTGAGAAAGTGTTGTTAGAAGAGGAGAGCTGATAAAGAAACAACCTAATGGGATGTGTAAGAAAGTATAGCATTAGGCAAATTCCTTTATCTTGATATATGCCAGGTTAGGCTTCCTTGCACAGATTTGGTTTAAGGAGTTTACTTGATTTGGTTTATACATCACTTCTGAAGGAGTTTGCGAACTGCCTTCCTCACATGGATAAACAATTACTCATGCTGATAGTTGATTGTGAATGCAAGTGTCTTAGAGGCAGGGCATTCATGATCTGGCCGTAGGTCTTTATCTGTTTTACATTTCACATACAAATATGACCTCAATTTGTATTCCAGGATTGTGGATTCTAAACCATTTTAAGGTATAATGTGCAGCCTCTGTAGGAATGCTATAGAGTGCACTTGTATGAAAATTCACAAGGCAGTAAGTGCAATGCATGCTGTATCAGTAGTCCACAAGTGATAGCCTAATAGTTATAGCTTAATTTTCTGCATGTTGCACAGGTGATTCTGAAGGATCTCAAAGTGTTTTGGTAATATAACAGTATTTGGAATATTAAAATTGATGTATTACTTTAGGTAGCTCAGAAATGCAGCAAGCTGAGGAGTGAAATTCTCCAAGTGTTTCTCTGCAAAGTTCAACGTTACACAACTGTTAGAATAGGAAATGAAGGAACAACAGTTTATTCAATCAAAAATTCAGGAGAACTGTAGGAACCCTAAATAAGATGATACTAATATGACTATTCGTACAATGCTAAGGGATCATTAGTGACCATAAGTAGTTAAAGAAAACATGTTTTCATGTCATTCAAGAAATTGTATTTCCAGCAACATGGCATCTTCTCATACCATGTGAGACATTGGTGCCACCTGCTGAGTCATTGAAGCAGCATCAGCAGCTGTTTCCAGAGATCTTTTCTCCAAATACAGACCTTGTCCATGCTGATAAGAGTTAACAATCTTACAACACAAGAAGTATGTCTTTCCTTTCCATATGTGATTCTTCAAAGGGTTTGTCCAAAGCAGGATAAAATGTATTTTTTTAATCTGTTGTTTAAAATGCAGTAATATACAACTTGTCCTTCTTGCACAGGATTTTTAAAATGAGTTGGGGCCTGTCTAGGCTAGTCTGTAAAGAAGTGATGTTAGCATGTGCTAACATGACATGTTTTAAAAACCTACTTCAAGGCTGCATCCAGCCCCTGAGCAGTTAAAACCTTGTTCAGTTCTGTCCCATTGACAGTCTGTGGGTTGCAGCATCACCAGAGCTTGTACTGCCTGTGGTGATGTCAGCAACAGGGGAGGTCTTGTGCTGCCCACATGATGGTGAGGGGGAACAGGGATTGTATGGGCCACGTGGCAAGGGTCCTGGAAGCCCATGTGACATGTGGTTCATTCATTGTGTGGCATGCAGCCCCTGGCCACTCAGAAGTTGGACAGCTCTGACCTACTTAATATTAAGTGTACACAGGTTAAGTTAGCTTAGTTAAGGCCCGGGAATCCTCCAGACTTCATCTTGACCAACTGGGGGATATTAAAGTCCACTCTAGTTTGTCCTTAATACAATTTCAAAATGTGTTAATTAACACATGCCAATAATATATCTTCTGTCCTAGCCCAGACAAATCCTCAGACCTGCTCTCTGCCTATCCCCTGCAGCGGCTGAGGTTATGTCTACCCAGCAAAATCAAGGTGAGGTTGTAGCACAGAGTTATACCTATGATGGAGGTAATTTAGCTAACCCAAGTTACAATTACAATGAAGACATAGGATCACAACAAACAACCTCTGGGCCCCTAGAGAAGTTGTAGTCTAGTGACTTTTTCATCTGAAACCCATACCATCCCATCTTCACTGAATTGTTAAAATGGTATGCCAAAACATCAGCCTTATGAACTGAAAGTAAGAAATTATCCTCAAATACTGATTCTTCCTAAGAAAATTTGTGGGAACAAAGTTTGGAAAAGGAAAGAAACCTGTCTTTGCTTACAAGATGTTTGGTGCCAAAAAGAAATGAATGCAGGTAAAAAGTTAAAAAGCTGTTTGATCACTAAGAAGACACTGTCTCTTTCTTTTCCCACTGCAGCGTTTTTTTGTCCTGGATAATGGCATGTTAAAATATTCAAAGTCACCGATTGATGTAAGTATAACTGAAGTATACCTGGATATTTAATCCATTGTTAAAGTTGGATCAAAAGCTGAGCCTACTGTGTGATTAAGTCTCATTTGTATGCTTTGGGAAGGTAGCACACAGTTGAGTACTGTGGCTGATGGGTTCAGAGTGGAGCACACTGCTTTTGTGGCAGAGTTCCGTGCATGTTCTGCATGCCTTGAGCCCTACAGATGAGAGGTGTAAGGCCAGGGGTAGTTGCTTCCCCTTACAGTGTTCTTCCTAATAATCCTGCATAAACTAGTGTCATTGCAATGCCATCCCACTTTACTCACTTACCTTCCCTACACCTTTGGAGTGTGACTTATGAGGAAACCAGGTTAGTGCACAAGGCATTGTTCAGGCTTTCAGAAATGAATCTAGCCACCTATGAATCCAGTATCACCTGAGTGTCAAAGCTGGAACAGCTCCTGAAGAGGAAGGAATCTCTGCAGGTAGAAATTAAGTTACCAATATTCTTCATGGAAAATAATACATGGGAGGGAAGACTTGGTTTAAAGTTACTCTTTTTTATTCTGAGGTAAGATAGATCTAGGTTCGTTACACCACTAAAGAGCAAATTCTGTTCACCTAAGGTCCCTAATTAAAACAGTCACAGACACAAAAAAAACATATAATTAAAACCTGGTTGGCCAGGGTTTTTAAGGATTATTTTTCTATCTGGTATACAATTAAAGTATGATGGGTGAGAAATTAAGACTAAATCTACGTCCACTGAAACTGCCAGCTTATGCCTGTGGCCTCTTTTTAACCAATTCAGCAAGTTAATTACATAGATAATTGTTCTGAATATTACTCAAATACAGCTTCTACATTTCTTTTCAAATGTGATACATTATGGATGCTCCAGTTTCTTGGAGTTAACCAACATGCATTTTTAGGCCAATTTCTGTCCTTCACTCTGTTTTTAGTAAGAATGTCTTTCTTTGGCTGAGAAATGTGTGTATGAGTAAACTAGAATATCGTAAAGATCTGTTCCAGAGAAGAAATTTCCCTCCACTGACTTGTATGAAAGTGCAGAATGTATGAAATAGTAATTCATTTCAGAAAGTGCCTTGACTGATTAGCTTGACTGATTAGCTCTTTATGATAATTTTTTAACTCTTTGCTTTTGATGTTAATAAAAATCAATAATTCAAAGTAATGGCTTTGTCTCCCTGCAGTCATCTTGTAGAGGTACTAGGGCTAGCTTTAAAACATCTAATTGGGGGACTGACAGCAGTCTAGCTGTGGCAGGACAGAGTTCAGGTTGCACTTATTTACCTTGTTTCCCCATGTACCTTTTAGTTGTACCATTGTATAAGCCAGCAAGGCTGTTTATTGGAATTGACCCTGTAATGAGCTGTCCTTGAAAGAGATTCTCTTTCTGTAAACAAATGAGGAATCCTGCTTGACTATACTGTTTAACATTAAAATCTTCTCTACTGCTACAGCACTAAGCATATATTCAGTTAGAGACAGTAAAGAAGGTTTTGATGTTGCTAATCTCTTCACATGTCTTCTGATTACAGACACAGAAAGGCAAGGTACATGGAAGTATTGATGTTGGTTTATCAGTTATGTCAATTAAAAAGAAAGCTCGTAGAATAGACCTCGATACAGAAGAGCACATATATCACCTGAAGGTGAGCAATAGTGAAACCAATTTTTCTTCTCTTTTCATTAATAAGGCAAACGTTTAAATAATAGGTACAAGGGATGCAGGGAACCATGATATCTTTCTGAATGTCTTGTTGACTCTGACCCTTCTTTTAGGTGAAGTCCCAGGACTCATTTGATGCATGGGTGTCAAAATTGCGCCACCACAGATTGTATCGTCAGAATGAAATTGTAAGATCACCAAGAGATGCTAGCTTCCATATATTCCCTTCAGGCTCTACTACAGAATCTTCACCAGCTGCTAACGTTGCTGTATTAGATGGAAAGGTAGGTAGCATCCCTTCTCTGGAAACTTAACTTAAAATTAATGTAATATTTATAACTGGCAGATTTCCTGATGAGTACTGCTGGTATGTGCTGATGTGGCTTGCCAGAGAAGGATCACCAACATGGGTACCACCACTGCAGCGTTCATTAGTAGGTCTTCTTTACAGATCCCAGTAAAGCACTGAGCTTCCCTTTAAAGGTATGCATACTTTCCTTAGCCAACAGTGATTGATTTGGCTTTTTATTGTTGTATAATGATTGCCTTCATCAAAACTGTTTTTCCTCCCAATGGTCAGCAAGTACTGTTTCTTTATGGTACCTCATGTTTCCTTTGCTGTTGTAAAATGATGCATCTCAAGGGTCAAAAACTGGTTTCTTGTATGCCATTTAAATTCAAGTATACAGTCTGGGATTTCAGAGTAGAAGATGTAGACTGTCAGTCATTGGTATATCCAGTAGTGTAATGAGGGGGCAGGGAAGACTGGGCAGGGGCAGCAGCCCTGGGCATCACCCTTGTGTCAGGGTGGGGCAAGGGGTTGGGGTGGACACAAACATAGCACTGCAGCAGTTGGTGCTGCCCCCGGTGTCACATGGCTGCCTGCGGCATGGAGCTGCCTGGCTTTGCCTCTGTGTATATCAGCACATTTTAAATGATCTTGTTGTTTTAGGTACAACAAAATAGCTTCCCATGGCAATCTCCTATACCATGCAGTAATAGCCTTCCTGCAACATGTACTACTGGTCCAAGCAAAGTAGCAGCTTGGCTACAGGACTCAGAAGAGATGGACAGATGTGCAGAAGGTCAGTCTCACCTGTGCAAGCCCTTCTTTACAAGAGAGATTTCTTGTTCATAAACAATAAAGAACAACTAAGGTGGTTAAAAAA